CCACTCGATCTGTAGACCACATGGCTGAAGTTGTAGCCATTCTCTCAAATAGCTCCCATGCTCCATCAATCGTTCTTGTGGAGATAGACTCGTCAGATGATGAATCTACCATGCTCTTGAAGAATGGAAGTAGTCCAGTGTAGAAAAATCGGTTCTGTGTCTTCTTGTCAAAGTCATGTTGCGAGCATTTCCTTAACATATTTTTGAAACGATTCCATGCCTCTTCAAATGATTCAGACTCACATTGGTTGAATATTGAGATATCATACGGCATTTTGGCTACCTTAGCTGGCTAGAAGAACTTGGTGCAAAATTTGTGGGCTAGCTCGTTCCAAGTGGTGATGCTTGCGACGGGAAGTGAATCCAACCATTCAAGTGCTTTATCCCGCAAGGTGTGTGGAAACAACCGCAATCTTATAGCATCGTCTGAGATACCCTGATACCTAAAGTGTTGGCACATATCCAGAAATCGAGATATGTGTGTATGTGGATTTTCACTAGCCATCCCGTGGTATTGATGCCCATTCTGAAATAGTTGAATCATATTTTTTTTTAGCTGGAAATTCGGTTGCCCAAATGGAGGATACACAATGCTAGATTGACTTTGGACCACCAATGGAGCCATGAAGTTCCCGAGTACAGTATTCCCATCATCTTCAACTGCCATGCCTTCGTTGAGTGGAATTACCAATCGATTTTGCTCGTTAGCCATTTGTTGTGCCGCTCTTGCTTCTCTTTGCCTGTGACGGAATGTGCGTTCGATCTCTAGATCTATGGGAACCAAGTCTTGATAAGGTGCTCCTTGCATTAAAGCCTTGAGATAGCAAAATTAATACAAAATTAAATTGATGTAATTTTAAACTAAACCTAGTAACCTAACTACTACTAATCTAGATAAGTTCGAATTAGTGTCACAAAAGATAAAATTAAAACTCAATTTCAATCCCCGGCAATAGCGCCAAAAACTTGTTCACGAAATTATTTGTTCCGATTTAAAATCCACCGCAAGTGTATGATTCGTTAACAAGTAGTAAAATGGACTATAAGTCCAAGTATCGATCCCACAAGGATTGAATTAGTTCGAATTAACCTATTATGACCTTAACCGAAACACTAAAATCAAATTGAGGTTTTGTTTTTTTGTACTTTAACTAACACGATGTAACATTTGATGCAAGTATGAATGAAGAATTATACTAAATGCAAAATATCTTGGATGCAATTTACTAGAATTTATTGATTTAATGAGTATACTAACACACTAGGATCACGAATCCCCCAGCAATACCCGTTCAATTGTCAATTATGCAACTTTGACACACAGTTCCACAAAAGATGAATCAATATTCATATTTTAATTTAGCAATCTCTCTCGAGCAATGCCAAACCTATCCCAATACATGATTCGACTATATTTCTATAACGAATATTAACATACCGACATGCATTATAAATTCACGAATATCCAATGATTCACACAAGGCATAGAGGTATATTTCTATCTCCTATCAGACCTTATGATGATTTATACTATGTCGAACCTATTTTCCTTCTCTCGAATGCATAAAACAGGCCTCCACAATCATATAATTACGTGCACAATAATCATATGAAAATAAAAACGTAATAAATCAATCAAATCCGGAACTTGTGTTCAAATACGTCAAAAATCCAAAGCAACAATTAAACGTAGTATTATAAGGTTCATCGATCTCCTAACAATGATAAATCTAACCTAACATGCTAAAAAGAATAAAACATAAAAATATTTGAAAAAACGACATCATCCGAATCAATCTTCAATCCGATCTTCACTTGGCGCGATGTTGTTCTCTTGTTCTATCCTTCGTTTCTCCTTCAAAATTTCTCAAAAACATGTAAAAAAAGCGTCCCTTACATTCTGGTCGAGTTTTTGTACTATAGGACCCTAAAAATATTGTTTCCATAAGAGTTTCGGAGGAAAAAAGAAACTGAATTTTCCCTCGAGAATTGCTCTATGTGGTCGCATAGAGTAAAAATATTTAGCCATTTAAGCTTCGGTATGCTTCTATGCGACCGCATAGAGGATAGTACTATTAACTATGGCAGATGTGCGTTTTGGTCCTCCCACTTGCATCCTTCACTTCTTGGCATCTTCTCTTCATTCTTTTCATTTCATCATCCTACGATATCGTCAATTGGTAATTGGGTTGATCAATTTCTCGATTTGTTCATTGGATCAACTTTTGGATATTTGCACTTTGGTCCCTGAACTTTCACTTTGCGTTATTTTAGTCCTTTTTCGCGTCTTTTCTCATGAATTTCACCATGTTCATCGTTGTTCCCTACAATTCACAAATGTATGAGATTAAGTCACAATTCAATCATTTTGCTATTTATTAAGTCATGGTTGTGATCTAAATAAGTGTGCAAAAACACACTTATCAGTTTCGAACTACTGAATTTGTGTATTGTTTAGCTCGCATTGCTATTGATTTTTTATGTTTTAGATTAGACACAGAGTTGATGAGAGATAAGAAGATGAGAGATGAGATCGATGTCGTAATTGAATATCGAAAAATATGAAGTCTAATTGCAGCTTGAGAAGTTTAAAGGGGTTGAACGAACCGACTTATATAGAACATAAAGATAAAGAATAATAATAACCTAGGATTTGTAGATTCCAAGGAATGATGAAAATTCAACTTGCGTGCAAGATTGGGCTTCATATTCTTCTCTTTTTCTTCGTAAGCTCGATGATGTGTTTAAATGTTAATTTATGTTTTTCTTATAAAATGATGATAAATTAATTTATTAGTTAGGGTGAACGATGTAAGTGTGCTGGAACTTTTAATTTCTTTTATCAAATTTTTTTAATCTTATTTAACTTTTTAATATTATTTTTCCTCCAACTCCCAATACTTGGAGTAATTAGCTACTATTGATTTGTGAATGAAAATGAGTTGAGAAGTGAGTTATTTATTTAGAACATATAGTAAAAATTGATAATTTGATAGAAGGTTGAGATGCTCTTTTGCCATTGGAATAATTCTAATAGAATTCCTTCGTGATTTAACGTGATTCATTAAGGAATAATTCAGTTTAACGTAAAAATATAGTCAGTTGACTTAGTTAAACCCTTGTTTGAGCCCCATTTTTTCTATCAAAATATATTTTTTAACACTGATTTGACATCATTTTAACCACGTATTTTTTAATAAAATAATATTATACATAAATCCAAAATTTTCTCTTATTTTTTAACCACACATTCTCCATCATAACACAACACTATTTCAAAATGTATTTAAATTTTTTTTTTAAAAAAAAGGGGCCTATAACAACCCCTAAATAAGATTTGTTTGAACTTGAAAGAGGTAAATTAATGGAATTAGATGAAGTCGACTGAATAATGATAGGAATTAAGGAAGGTAACTATGGTGAAATCATAAACTTAACACCTTTCACATGTATTGAAACATTCAAAATTGTGGAGCACGCATTCATATTAATTTGCCTTTTAAGCCCATGTTTGGTGGGGATTAAAATCAAATTTTTAGTAAATTTTGATAGAAGTTGATGAAATGTATTGTTGAAAAGTTGTGGGATTTATGAAATATATGGTTGAAATTAATTGCTGACTTTGATTTAGATTAAAATCTAAATTTTATTTCCTACCAAAGAAGGCCTTAGTAAATAAGGACTCGTTTGGTTTATGTTTTGGTTTTCAATTTTGAGTTTTGAATTCATTTTCTTTTCTTCGTTTTGAGAGTTTGTTCTAAGATTTATAAAAATGCATTTGCTTTATCATTTTGAAAATTTATTTTTCAAAACAGAAAACTAAAAAACATATTTAGTTTGAAATTTTGAAAAATTAATTTTTACATTTTATTCCATTAAATTTGATTATCCAATAAAAAAAGAATAATTTTACGTAAATATATTATCGAGTAATTTTTAAAATTTTAAATTTTTTATAAATTATCAAATTTAATTTTTCATAATTTTTAAATTTTATTTGTTAGAATTTTATATTTTTATATTTTATATTTTTCAAATTTATTTAAATGCTGATTTTCAATGTTTCGAGTGTTTTCAGAATTTTCATTGAAATTATTCAAAATGTTAAAAATACATTTTGAGTTTTATATTTTATAAATTTATCCTTGTTTTCAAAATTCATTTTAAGAAATAATAGACCAATCATGTTTTCAATATGTTGCAAAATTGAAAACTGAAAGGGGCTTGAAAATAGTAAATCAAACGTACCCTAAGTTTTTAGGAAAACCACCCCCATTAAATAATTTTTCTGCTAAATAAAACAGAGGTTAGACATAATAAAACTGATAATTTTATAAGTAGCCACCTTGATTCATAGATCCATTTATTATTATTATTATTATTATTATTTATTTATTTATTTATTTTTTTTGCCAAATTATGATATTGTACACATACAATTTTTGCCGAACAATACTACTCCAGTTACAAAACTCAAAAAAACATGCTATAGTAAACAAATGTAGGATCGTGCTTCAAACTTACAAAAGGACACTGAACTATATCCATAATAACTCCTTACAAAATTGATGTGGCCATTTTTGTTCCTTTTTTCTAGTATTAAAAATTCAACATTTCATTTGACTTTCTAATTAAACAATGTATAGATTTTAAATGATTTAAGATAGAGAAATACTTTGGTAAATGAGTAGGTAAACTAGTACGTCTTGATACATTTTCTTCAAAATATTTATTTTACAAGGAGTAGGTATCATGTCAATGATTTTGATAGAAATTTCACAAATTGGCATTAGAATAATACTCACGTTTAGGTCCTCAATCTTCAAAATGTTTGATCCTAACATGAATAATACATGTAAAATGAAGGACATGTCCTCTTTCGTGTCACAAAAGAGCGAATTACTATTAACAAACCTTCACCTAGAAAAAGTCTATATACCACATTTTTATGTTGAACGTAAATTAGACGAAGACCTTGTACATTTCCGATACAAATATATTAGAATTTAGAACAATAATTTTTTTTTATTATTTTGCAACAAGTACAACACTTATTAACCATAAAAGCAAGCATATGACTTGGCATGCACGTCCCTTCTATTATACAAGACATGTATGCTAAGACATATGCTAGCGAAGTCGAAATTGCTATATCATAAACATAAAGCGACTCGGCATATGAACAAAATCACCTTCTCACCAGAAATCTCCCAAGGAAGATGAATTCGAAGGACTTAAAAATGAAACTTTTCTCCTTTTGCTCGAAACCATATTTCTTGATGTGAATTCTTCCGATGCGTAAAATTTATCAAGCACAGATTTCAGAGCCAGACGAACAGAATCTATGAGAGGTTGACAATCTTCTGGACTATTTTTGAAATTCTCTGTGTTGCATCCAGTCACCACAAAAACATTCACCATTCTACTTCCCAATGTAGCAATCTCGGACCTGACCGTCTTCAGAGGGAGGGATTCGAGCGCGAGTCTTAAGTCGGATAGAATCTCGTGTCTGTAATCACAACATAGAGATGCCCGGATGGAAAAGAATGCTCCATCATGTTCGTCTGTCTGTTGTTCGACTCTTACTTCATCAATGTCAGTTGGCACAAGTGTGCCTTTAGTAGCTTCTGCGACGTTCCCTCTCAACTCTTTTACCTTATTGATAACTTCAGCCAGTAATGCTGCTTTGTCCATCTGCTGATATCAATAAACTCATTCAGTAAAGCTTAAACATGCAGGCCGTTTATAAACAAGCACAATTAATAAAAGACAGATTTCAGTGCTTTCTATATCCATTTTGCACGATAGATTAGTCTCATAGTGCTATCCTCTTTGTATAGTCTACAGAAAATCTGTAAGGGTTCATCACTAAAAACTGTGAAGAATCTCAAAGCATTGCAATCTGTTCAATAAGTCAGAAACCAGCGACGATCCCTGAAATCTTATGACACAGAAGAAGTTTGGATTTCGAAATATGTAGCAGATTTGGATGATCGCAGCTAAAATATAGCATTCATTTAAAATTTCCTGGTGTGTAGCAGCAAAAAGAACTTATTGATTATTATGGACAAAAAAATTAACATCTTATTAGCAAATTTATTAGCTAAAACACACAAATGCACTAATATGTGTCCTCCCATGTACAGAAACATCACAAAAAATCCATACAGAAGTAAAAACAAGCCTTGATCTGGGAATAAACTCAAGAACAAAATTTTGACACTCCAACACAAAATCGCCATCTAAGCTCCAATAGTAATGGTATGCTTTATGAGGTGGACAATAATGGAAGAATAACAACAAGCATTATAATGTCCCTCTCTAATATTATGCACCAAACATGCTCCAAGTATATCTACATATACCTAAGTACCTGTATATCTGCAGTGTGGATCTACTTCATGTTTGTAGATCATGTTTCCTATCATTTAACCATTAATAACTGCAAAGAGCATATAAATGTGAATTTTCCTCACATGCATTGAGTCAAACACTTAAACTACTTATCTCAATGCTTTGTAAGGTGGGCACGAGTTGAAGAAGAAGAAAAATACTAAAGTCTTGTTCATTACAATATCGACCCTCTCAAATATTTACGCACCAAACATGCTCCAATTATATCTACATATATCTAGTTACATGTATATCTGCAGTGTGGATCCACTGCAGGTTTGTAGATCATGCTTACAATCATTCAAGTACAAATTGCATGAGCATATAAAGGTGAATTTTTTTCACATGTTAATTAAACACTAAAACTACCTATTTCAATTCTTTGTAAGGTGGACACGATTGGAACAAGAAGTTCATTATAATATCGACTCCTCTCCCATATCGCGCACCAAACATGCCCCAAGTAAACTACATATATCTTGTTCTTGGAAGTAAACAACCGCAAAAGCATACAAAGGTAAAATATCCCTCTATGCATTTAATCAAACACTTAAACTACCTTATTTGTGCCAGGAATTAGGCTCCTGAGAGTGCCCAAATGTCCATTAATTCTTTCTCTTCTACGCCTTTCAGCCTCACTGTGGTTCCTCAAAGTTATCAATGCCTTCTCTGCATTAACTTCTTTTTGGCCAGGCTTCACCATAGTCCTCACAAGCTCTTCCCTTTCTTTATCCAAAATCAACGACGAACTTGATGAGGATCCATTTGTTATTATCCCTTGGAACCCGAAATAGTTTCCAGAATACCCATTGGTAGTGTCGAAAAAATCCATTCTTTTTCCTCAGAGATCGCAGTTGAAACGAAGTAAAGAGAATTCGTCGGTTCTTGAAGCGGGATCGCAAGTTTTGGGGTTTTCTCGTATTCACATTGCTTAAAACAGCAAAAAGTAATACTCTAATAATCAGTTTTACAATATTTTCATCAAAAAGAGTAAATAATATACTACAACAGTGCCTCGTTCTCTTAATTCTTCTACAATTAAAACGTTGCAAAAATGTTTTGGGGTTACAAATTCAAGAACACAGGTACAGTACGTGCGCGCGAACGAGCGAGAGCGAGAGCGAGAGAGAGAGAGAGAGAGATTTTACAAGAAAATTGCAGCTAGAGTGTTCATACTTTTAGGCCATTTAAACCCAAAATTGAGGCTTATTTATTTATTATTATTTTTTTAAGGATCAACAACCAAGAACTCGCAAATTAACAAACTCAAAGATCGATAATTGGAAATAATCACCCACGGATATGTTGGAATGTATTGCTTGACCTCGACTAGACTCTACGCATTATTATATTTGTCGAAACAGGCTAACTCAATATCATTTTCATCATAGAAGAAAATTTTATAGCTTTTATGTAGGTAAGGCTAACTATCGATCACTAAGTTCACTCACAAGTAAATCAATTTCAAAATAGATAACATTTTCATTAATTAAATTAAAATGTGTACTTATACATAAATTTATTCATGTTTAGCCCCAATTGTTAAAACTTATTTTTAACTTCAAATTTATTTTTTAACTATATATTTTATGGGATCCTTAACTTCTGTTAACTTTTCAGTCATATATTTCGTTAACTTTTATCAAAATCTACTAAAAACCTGATTTTAGTCAAATTAAACAATGACTCATTAGATAACTATCTTTTAATTAGTTTGTAAATAAATGGTTGTGGCAATGTGGTTTGTCTAGTTTAAACCACAATAGCTTTAACTAATAATAATAGCACAACGGTGAGTCATTTGATGCAAAAGTTACCTAACAAAGTTCATTTTAAATAATGCAATGCCCCTATAATTAGTCCATTAAACAAAGACATCTTACTATTATTTGCCACGAGAAATGATGAAACAAATATTAAAATGTGAATTGGTAGGCAATCGATAATATATTAAGCTCTTGTTTGAGCCCCATTTTTGTGAAGAAAATGAATTTTTGAATAGTATATTGTTGGGAAATGTATGGTTAAAAAATAAGGAAAAATTTTTGATTTGCATATAATATTATTTTATTGAAAAATGTGTGGTTGAAATGATGTCAAATCACTGTTGAAAAATGTATTTTAGTTGAAAAATGGGGCTCAAACAAGGGCTAAGAGTTTATTACAATGGATTTATTTTCTTAAATCATAAACCACTACATATAAGTAATCTTTTAATAAATCAAGACCAGAAAAATTGTCGACTTTTGTTCAATATCAAGAGTTTGTTACAAAGAGTTCATTTATTTCAATCATAAACAATTACGTATTAGTAAAATTTTAAAATATATGAACATGTTACATATCATACTCATTTATGCTCTATGGACTAGAATAATAAAATTTTATGAATAAACAGTATTAATGCAAATTGTTAAATTACTTATATAATTTAGTACTCAATATATTTTAATTAATATTTTTCAAATAACTTACTTCTAAGAGTAATTTAGTAACAAGTAGCTTTTCAATTAAATACTAAAAAGAATTACAAATTACTAAGTAATTTCTTTTTTGTCATATGTTATATATTAAAAATAATCTGTTAATTAAATAATTTAGTTATTAGATTCTTGAATTTAATAATTTACGCAATTATGCGTTCCTTCAGTAGGATCCATTTAGAATGATGGAAACTTATAGATCTATAAGATCGTTTTGAAGACCCATGATTATAATTAAAAAAAAAATAAAAAAATTCTACTACTTGTACACAAAATAAGTGAAGCAAATACTTAATTATAATTAAAAAAAATTTCTTAAAATACACACTATCTAGATCTCAAGAAATTTGCAGGGTCGACTAATGGAAAGAGAAGTGTTGTGCTAATCTTATGTTCATAGGAATAACATTCGAGAACAAGTATAAATACATTGTAACTACTATAACTCGACAGCAATTAATCACAAATTTCTCTTATCTATATGTTATGGTGAAACAAAACCTTAGATCTAAGTAGATGCAAATCTTGTATGTGCTCATTTTATTGTTGTAACCTTAATTATATTAGTGATTATAAAATTTAATATTTGAAAAAACAATTGAATAAAATAAATAAAGAATATGATTAAATATAATATATAAATTTGATCTTGTTTTAATTTGTCAACGACGTGTTTCTTAGCACTTAGATACAATATTTCATCAAAAAATTCCACTACAGTTTGTCCATTAATTGGCTGGTGCTTTTTGAACGCTGCATTGGCCTCTTGTGGGCTTTTTGATCAAAAGCCGATTACAATCCCACCTACTTCCTTTGAACAATAAAATTTAGTGTGAAATTGTTAAAGGGTTCGTTCTTTTCAAATTTCTAAGATCATAAAACTTATATTAATTGATTTTTTGGCATGATAATGTTTGGTGTTAATTCTAATGAATCATGCCAATATATTGAACTAACTCATTGGTAATTATGGTGACAAAATGTTGAATTAGAGAGTGTAAAAAAGTGACATATCTATTCATTTGAATTTTTCTACATGTCTTCGAGACGGCTAGATTCATTTTATTAATCATAAAAGCAAGTGTAGGGCAGGGTGGCATGGACATTCATAACTATAAGTTTTTTTTAATATATAATTTTCATCCAAAATTACGTACATTCCTAACTTGAGATTGAGAAGGTCAGAATGACTATATATCATTATTATTGGAGTCCACAGTCATCGCTAATGAGTCAAGCTCCATGCCCTAGGGATCATGGCACCGTCATAGTTAAAGATTGTCATTCTATTGCATTAATCCTTCTATTTGATACAGAGAACGATAAAAGAAACATTAATAAAAAAAATGATTAACATTTCAAACATCTTAGAATTTGATACGTGTTGACTTCGCAAATTGGACCCTCCAAGTGTGTAGAACCCCAAATAATTCTAGACACCTTAGTGGCACTAAGACATGAATATTGGATGACTAAAGTATACTTCAAATTTTTAGTCTCATTTGAGACCCATTTTCGACATAGAAAACATTCGATTTGGAAAATGACATATAAATAAAAGTTGTAGCTCTTCGAGTTAGCTTTCCAACGTATATTGAATTACCTCAATGACATATCGAGAGAAGAAATTATGATAGAAACACTGAAAGCTGTGCAGTGTCAACCGGACTACAACCGGTCGACCGAAACTGCGTGAAATAAAAATTCTCGTTTTTCTCTAGAATTTAAATATTTATTTTCATCAATTATTTTCTCAAAAGGCTAACACATTTTTGGCAATAAAAATCCTATTAAATTGAAGTATTTAACCTCAAACTTAAATAGCACCCATGTTTTCTCTCTTAAATGAAATTTGACCCTTCATTTGCTTTAAGTTATGGGATACTTACCTATAAATAAAGATCTCATTTCACTCATTTTTTCTCACACCAAAAGCAAGAGCTTTTATATACTAAAGAAAGAGTTTCCAAGAGAGAAAAAGAGAGGGAGGAAAACTATTTTTTCTAGAAGTTTAAAAAGTGTTTACAAGCATCAATTCTCTACGGTTTTCAAACATCTAAGGAGTGCATTTCTTTCAACGTCCAAGTTTCATCGAAGTTTTTAATCCAAGTTTTCAAAGTTTCAAAAGCTTCAATCAAGGTAGGTAGAGGTGCAATGTGTTTAATCGTGTTAGGTTATAAGTTTCGATTCATGTTAATGTTTGTATGTTAAATGGTACTCCGGTACGACATATCCCTCTATGTTAATGGTTGTATGTCAAATGGTACTTCGGTGCGGTATATCCCTCTATGTTGAAGAAATGTTCGTATGTCAAATGGTGCCCTTGGGTACGGCATACCCCTTCATGTCAAATGGTGCCTCCGGGTACGGCATGTATGAAAAGTTATAAAGTTAATGTTTTGAAATGTATAGCTTGATCACGAATGTACCTATGACACCTATTGAGTTTTTCAACTCACGGGTTTAATCTCATCTCTACAGATTGAAGGAATTCTACCTCGGGCATGGATGGAGGAGAAGATGGAGAGTGATGCAACGAGCCCATGGAAATCCGGTGAATAAGTGATTTGGATTTATTTTTATGAAATATTTTCCAATGTTATTTCTTTAAAGTTTTGAATAACGCAGAATGCAAGAACAAGTTATGTTTTTTTTCAAATAAATTACATTTTGTTGTTTTGAAAAATGATTCAGTGTTTTTGTTTAAAGTATTTGAAGTATTGTTATTTAAATTATTATCCGAAGATGTAAGTTTCCGCTAAATTGTATACACTTGTTACTAAACCACCGGTTAAGCTAAGTAAAGTAAGTAGCATTTCGGTCCACTAGGGGTCGAGGCGTTACAGCGTGGTATTAGAGCAAGGTTTAGCCAGTTTCGTAGACCAAGTATGTTTTTTTAAAAACAAAAGGAAAATGAAAAATTTAAGGTATTCCATGGCATCGTGCATCCATCCATCAATCTCATCCTATGGCCCAGGTATGTTCATGTTTAAAGTTAATGATTATGTTTATGTTATGATGCTTTGATACGATTTAGAGATGTGTTATTTAAAGATATGTAATGGACTTGGGCAAAAGTTAAGGGCTTAAAGGGAATTGCATGATATGAAAGTTTAAATATTTGCATGTTTTCTTTAAGCAAAGAAAAAGTATGATGTATGTGAAAATGCAACAGATATGACTCGTAGAACGGCTATAGCATATAGAGAAGCATTGAACCGTAGAATTGCTATTCATTCCTATGAAAACTATGTAACTGATCCGACCCGACCGCTTAGCGAACATGTGAATGACATCTATGAGAGATACATGACGGCGGTTAATGCTGGAATGGAGATCACGCATATCGAGGCCATAAATAACCTCACACACTCCCTCCCACCTCAATGGGGAGATATGGGAGTCACGGTTAGAGATGAAATGTTAGAAAGCAACCCAAACCTGTTCGAGTTTGAGAAGTATTGACATACCCTGATTGATTTGTGGGATGATGTAATCCATGAGGAGCCTGAACCTTTGGCTGAGGAAGAAGATCCTGAAGAAGAACCCGAGGATGATTTAGAGAATGATCCTGAGCTTGAGCCACAGGTTGAGATGGACATAGAGTCCGGACCTGAGGCGGAAGACTCCTCCGAAG